CCATGGATCCATCGAGGTCAAGCAGTTGGAGAACGCCGGGCAGCCAGGCCAACCATCGGTGAAAGCATCCTTACTAAAATATTCAAAAATTAGCTGACTCATGGCTGGCAAGGCACCTGTCTCTTCATAATCCAGTTACCTTGGAATTTTTTTCGCGTTAGGCAGGAGATTTGCCTTTGAACCCGGACCAGCAGGGTCTTACAGTGCAGCCGAGATCCACGCCTTGCACTCCAGCCTGGGACAACCAGACCTGTGAACCTGGTCCAAACACAAAAACAAAGAAATGACCTAAATGCCAAATGGTATGCTCCAACTAAAACACAGACTGGCCAAATCTGGCATAAGAGTCACAAACTATCAGGATGCTGTATTAGGAGAACCCATCTCCATGCAAAGACCACATTTGGGCTCAAAATGACATTAAGGATGGAGTCCAAACAATTTCACCAACAAAATGAAAGGTTAAAAAAAAAAAAAAAAAAGGAGCGGGCGCGGTCGCCAATCCTCAGTCTCTGACCAACAGACTTCAAACCAACAACGAACTCAAAAAAGGCAAGAGGCGAGCTGCTCAGCCGCCCTCCCCAGACAGTGGGTCCTCGGCTCCTGAGCAGCTTAGGATCCGGCTTCCCAGCTAGGCAGAGGCACTGGGCCCGTGTAAGCACAGCACTTGTCGGAGTCCCTACTAATGGCTACTTTGAGTGTTGCAAGATCGCCTGCAGCCGTTCACCCGCTTTGGAAAGTAGCGGGGGCGCCTTTTTCTTCTAGTGTACCGCGTAACCCGATGTAGCTCTGTAATTTGTACGCTGCAAATCGCTAGCCTACTTCTTTTGTCATTTCGTAAACATATTAATACAAATAAACCTTTTTTTTATCCTGTTAGTCTTTCTTTGCTCTCAGCTTAATTCACAGGGCCCCAGGGATTGTACTTACACGAGGATAAGAGACCAGTCTTCCCCTCCACACCGCACTAATGGAGGAACATGAGAAATAATGCTCCCTCCTTTGGTCCCAGCAGGAGAGTCAACCACACAAGTCCTTGTCTGTATATGGAAACCCTAACCCACTTCACCCTGACCACAGTAAAACCCCAAGCCAGGATCCTTTCCTGTCTCGAGCCATTTGGGACCTGCTTGGGAGGCCTGTCCCACTCTCCCAGAAACGGCCATCATCTGAGTAATAAGCCTTTTCTTTCATACCCTCTTGTGTGTGTGGCACCACCAGCCTCAACATCAGGACTTAGCATTCAGGGGGTTCCCTCCACTTTTGCAGGGACCATAACAGCCCATTGAAATCTCCTCTAGTTGTACTCCCTGCTTTGCTAATTTCATCCAGTCCTGTGACTTTATGACTTTTCTTGCAGAAGGTATGGCTAATCAAATTATTACATCTGGATTATCATAGTACATGTAGATATTCTTAAAGTACATAGATTCTTATATTTTATGTACAGATTGTTATACTAGATTAGATCTGCTATACAATATGGACTTTATTTATTCATTATTTATTTTTTGTTCTTTTGAGAGGGCGTCTTTCTGTCACCCAGGCTGCAGAGTGCAGCGGTGCACCTCTGCCTCCCAGGTTCAAGCAATTCTCCTGCCTCGGCCTCCGGAGTAGATGGGACTATAAGTGTGCTGTACCACGCCTGGCTAATTTTTGTATTTTTAGTAGAGATGGGGTTTCCACCATGTTCGCCAGGCTGGTCTCAAACTCCTGACCTCAAGTGATCTGCCCACCTTGGCCTCCCAAAGTGCTGGGATTACAGGCATAAGCCACCACGCCCAGCCTACACTATGGACTTTAAATAACACCTACCTGCTACCAAATTCAACATCAACCAGAATCCTCCCCCAAACTCCAAACCCAAATTTCTATTCCTTACTCACTGTTTCAATACCTGAGTCATCTCAAAGTTTAAGCTAAAACAGAATTCTTCACTTGCCCTCTGCCTCAAACCCCGTAAATGGCACATTTACCAAATTTCAAACCAAAGCCCAAGAATTCATCTTTGTTTCTTCCTTCTCTTCATGCACCACATCCAGTTCTTGAGCAAGACCTTCAAGGTACCTCCATGTAGCCTTTGTGCCTGTCCCCTTTTCCATTCAGCAGCCACTGCGCTGATCCAGGACACCCTCAACTCCTGCTTGATAGCCACAGAGCTTCTGCTCTACTCCTGCCCCTCCGTGGGGTGCAGTCCTGGAGGTGGAGGAAATGTAAGCAAGATCTAGATTAGGTCCATAGTGTATAGTAGATCTAATCTAACAACCTATATATAACATATAAGAATCTATGTCCCACGAGAATATCTACCTGTACTGTGATGATCCAGATGTAATCCTAGATTAGCTCGCTCCCTGCACGCTGCCCCTGCGGCAGGAATGGAATCCCAGGAGGCCACCTGCCTCCTCACCTGGTCTCTGCCTGAGCTCAGCCAGCTTGTGGTCCCGCCTCTCCTCTCGGCACCTTCAGCCCATCCTACCTTGAGGCCTCCGTGCGGGAGGCTTCCTCCTCCTCACAGCCTTAAAACTCGGTGTACACTGCCCCTCCTCAAACACGCCCTGCTCACCCTCCCGTCTCAAGCTTCGAGCCCCGCGTCTGAATCACCTTGTTTCCCGGGCCCTGGTGAGCTTCGTTCTTCCCCAGGTGTCCACTGTCACTGGACCACTTTCCCGAGACGCCACACAGAACCTCGCGGAGCTGCTGTACACACTTGCTTGTCAGGAGAGGAAATGCTGGTGTACCAATTCCTAGTACAGAGCTAGGAATTGGCACCAAATAATTATTTCTTGAAGTCATGGATGAGTGAATGAATGAATAAATTAGTTAATCTCATATCCTAGAACGGGGTTCTGCAAGCCACCAGTTCTGGATATGTGAATTTAAAAAAGAAAATAGTGGCCAGGCGCGGTGGCTCACGCCTGTAATCCCAGCACTTTGGGAGGCCAAGGCGGGTGGATCACAAAGTAAGGAGATCGAGACCATCCTGGCTAACACGGGAAAACCCCATCTCTACTAATACAAAAATTTAGCTGGGCGTGCCGGGCGCCTGTAGTCCTTCCCAGCTACTCAGGAGGCTGAGGCAGGAGAATGGCGTGAACCCAGGAGGCGGAGCTTGCAGTGAGCGGAGATTGTGCCACTGCACTCCAGCCTGGGCAACAGAGCGAGACTCCATCTCAAAAAGAAAGAAAGAAAATATTTAGGCCACGTGCGGTGACTCATGCCTGTAATCCTAGCACTTTGGGAGGCCAAGGCAGGCAGATCACCAGAGGTCAGGAGTTCGAGATCTGCCTGGCCAACGCGGTGAAACCCCGTCTCTACCAAAAATACAAAAATTAGCCAGGTGTGGTGGCGGGCACCTGTAGGCCCAGCTACTGGGGAGGCTGAGGCAAGACAATCCCTTGAACCTGGGAGGTGAAGGTTGCAGTGAGCAAAGATGGTGCCACTGCACTCCAGCATGAGGGACAGAGCAAGACTCTGTCTCAAATTAATTAATTAATTAATAAAAAAATTAAATACAAATTTATGAAGAGCAGAAAAAATAAAGATATTCATTTTCTGGGTGGGAAAAATGTTTAAGCTTAATGTAAATCGAAAAAATTACACAGTAGAAAATCGATACTGGAGACTGCATTGAAAATTTTAAAAACGTAAAATTAAAAACAATTTTTATGTTTAAAATTAAATATGACAAAGAGGGAGTGTGTAGCAAATGTAAGAGGTTATAACCTTAACATTAATGATTTGTGCACATTGGTTAAGGCAAACATGACCCTGAAGTTCAGTGAGGGCAGTAAACATAAACAAACTATTTACAAATAAAATTAATTAAAGAGAAACTATATTCTACCATACTATAAATCAAATGCAAATTAAAACAATAATAATCTCCATTTTGCGTGCGGAATTTGAAAAAGGTTACATATATGGATATCCATATTCAATGGCTAGACTGCAATGTAACTGCTAAAGGGAAGATAATTTGGTATAATTCTGTGATTAAAAGAAAATACCTTAAAATGATGTTGTGATCATTAACCCACTAATCCTACTTCTCTGAATTGATCCTTAAATAATCTGAAAAGACAGAAAAACTTAATGTACAAAATTATATCTTTATTACTTAAACAATTTAAGAATTTTCCTTAGAAACAATTTAAGATATTATTAGAGTAATAGTTGAGTCAAATTAGCTCATTTATATGGTAGACTGAAATATAACCATTAAAACATTTATAAAACCTGTGTAATAGCATGAGAAAAATCCTATGAGATAATATAAAGGAAAAAAGAAAAACAATGAGCTTATACACACATATACACACACACATATACATATATTCACAGTTGTATATTAAAATTTTAAAAATGTATAAACAATGACAAAGAAACACTGAGTGCCTTATCTAAGTATTTATAATTCCTGGTAACCTTGCAGGTTACAAATAAAGCAAATTATAATGTCATAAACACCTGTGCATTGGCCACATTCAAAAGCAATCCATTCATGGCCATGAGCGGTGGCTCAAGCCTGTAATCCCAGCACTTTAGGAGGCCAAGGCAGGCAGATCACCTGAGGTAAGGAGTTTGGGACCAGCCTGGTCAATATGGTGAAACCCCGTCTCTACTAAAAAAATAATAATAATACAAAAAAAATACAAAAATTAGCCAAGTGTGGTGGCTGGCGCCAGTAATCCCAGCTACTCAGGAGGCTGAGGCAGGAGAATTGCTTGAACTCAGGAGGCGGAAGTTGCAGTGAGCCGAGATCATGCCCCTGCATTCCAGCCTGGGAGACAGGAAGATTCTGTCTGAAAAACAAATAAACAAAATCAATCCACTCAAAATCCCTCATATCTGAATCCTTCTGTTTATTCCCAAGTCACCCTCACTCACTCAACCCTAGTCTGACTGATTTCGGGGGCTGTGGGCATCCAATGACACAATGTAATTATAAAGTATGCCAAATATTAAGTTAAGATTGGAAATGAGGCTAGGCACGGTGGCATGCACCTGTCGACTCAGCTACTTGGGAGGCTGAAGTAGGAGGGCTGCTTGAGCCCAGGAGTTTGAGTCTAGCCTGAGCAACATAACAAGACATCCGTCTCTAAAAAAAATTTTTTTAAACATAAACCTGGAAATCATAAACATAATGCATTGTTTCTCACATTGAAATGCTGCTCAAATTAGAGTAAAGCTATTGGGAAAGGATTGAGTCCCCTCTGCCCCAAAAAGGATCATTTAACAATTAAAGAGAAGAAAACAAAGACAAATGAAAATGATGCGAGGTTCAATAGGAGAACTTTATTAAAAGTAGACCTTTTTATTGTTTTAACTAAGCCTTTGATGGCTAGGCAGTCAAATTTGAAAGTAAAGTGAAAAAATGCCCTCAGCCAAGTTTGCAGGGAATGCTTTGTGATTCTAGCAAGGCGGGTCTCTGGTGAGGCTGGACCAGAAATAATAATACAGTGAGAAGCAACCAAGAGCCCACTTGGGGTCAGTGATGGGTTTCCGGAATGGCTTGTTGAGGAACCTGGGCTTTGTTCTCCATTCAAGGAAGTGTCAAAGGCCGTTTAACCAAGAGCACAGTGCCCTCAGATCTGTGGTTTAGGAGGGAAGCCCGGGGTTGCGGGCAGCGGGGACGAGAGGAAGTGCCTGCAGGTATGAAAGCCACAAAGAAGAAGTGTGTCTTTTAAGTTTCCTTGGTCTCCCTGAGGACCAGAGGATTCCTAAGCAACTCTCTGAATTAGATTTCTGCCAATGGCCCCTGGAAAAAGCTCATTTTAGTTCATTCTACTGAGCGCTCTGCCCCGCGGTGGTAACTGTAGATCATCAGTGGCCACAACGACTGCCCACAGAAGCTGGGTTGCCGAGGAAACAGCCTAGTACTTGCCCCTTAATTCCTGGCTTCAGTGTAACTGTTGAGCTGACGTCATACCGAATCATGAATGGTAGCAATGAATGGGGTGGCCTACCTCAAACAGCCAGGCGAGTCGTGGCCCAGAAACAAAGGTCAGGAGGGAGCCAGGGAGCCAGAATCCCTGCATCCCTGCTCCTCTGCTGTGTGATTGCTGCTGCTATTCTTCCTGGAAGATGAACCAACAAATTTGGTTGGAAAAGGCTTCCAGAAGAGATCCTACCTTCCTTAGAGTGTGGCTGAGTGATCAATCAATTCCAAGAGTATCCAGTTTAGATATGATTTGAAGGAAACTCACCTGTCATTTCATGTGAACACAGCAATTATGATAGTAGATGTACATGGAGACAAACACACACACAGACACACACACACACATACTCAGAGAGAGCCAGCAGCCCTGGCAGTATATGCACTGTACACCAAAGCATGGTCAATGATCAGTAATTATCTATAGATTAAAGCTGATTTTACTTTCTTGCTTCTCTACTATTTCTCTACATTTTTTACATGACCATGCATCAACTTTTGCAATAGGAAAAATATAAAAAGTTTATTTTTGGCTGGGCGCAGTGGCTCACGCCTGTAATCCCAGCACTTTGGGAGGCCGAGGTGGGCTGATCATCTGAGGTCAGGAGTTCGAGACCAGCCTGACCAACATAGAGAAACCCCATCTCTACTAAAAATACAAAATTAGCTGGGCGTGGTAGCATATGCCTATAATCCCAGCTACTCGGGAGGCTGAGGCAGGACAATCGCTTGGCCTTAGGAGTGGTGCGTGGAGGATCAATCATCTCCCAAAAGTATCCAGTTTAGATACTGAATTTGAAAGGAAACTCACCCGTCATTTCATGTGAACAGCAGCAATTATGGATATAGAGTACATGAGACAAACACACACACAGACCCACACACACACACATACTCTAGAGAGAGCCAGCAGCCCTGCGCAGTAATGCACTTACACCAAGCATGGTCAATGATCAGTAATTATCTATAGAATTAAAGCTGATTTTACTTTCTTGCTTCTCTACGTTATTTCTCTACATTTTTTACATGACCATGGCATCAACTTTTGCCAATAGGAAAAATATAAAAAGTATATTTTGGACTGGGCGCAGTGCTCGGCACTGTAATACCCAGCACTGTTGAGGCCGAAAGGTGGGCTAATCTAACTGAGTCAAGAGAGTTCAGACCAGCCTTGACCCAACATAGAGAAACCCATCTCTACTTAAAAATACAAATTAGCTGGGCGTGGTAACTTATGCCTATAATCACCCACATATGCCTATAATCCCAAGCATACATCGGGAGCATGAAGACAGACAATCGCATGAAACCGGAGGAGATGAAGGAAGTGCGGTGAGCCGGGATCATCCAGCCATTGCAACTACCACCTGAGCACCACATCAAGACTACGAAAAACAACACAACAACAAAGGCTGGGACGCAGTGCATTCACAAAAAACTGCTAATGCCAGCACTTTGGAGGCTGAGGTGGGCGGATCATGAGGTCAGGAGATCGAGACCATCTTGGCCAACACAGTTAAACCCCATATCTACTAAAATACAAAAATTAGCCGGCTGGGGCAGGCCCTGTAGTCCAGCTGCTCAAGGGAGGTAGAGGCGAGGGAGAATGGCGTGAACCCCGGAAGGGGAGCTTGCAGTGAGCCAAGATTGTACCACTGCACTCTAGCCTGGCGACAGAGCAAGACTCCATCCAAAAAAAAAAAAGTTTATTTCATTAACTAAAAAAGAGAGTGGTCTGGCCCTGATTCATGCCTTTCAGGTCCTGCTCAGGATTGAGTCAAGATCAGGAATTTCGGAGGGGACCACTATCAGCTATCAGGTGGGGAACCCTGTAAGCTCCAAAGCCTTAAGTGTAGGTCTCCCTAAGCTACCCTGCCCTCCTAAGCCCACTCCCCAATGTCCCATTTTAAATTTCTTAAATCTTATTATGACTATTACTGTTAGAGACAGAGTCTTCCAGGTGGAATTATGCCTTCCCAGGTGGCTTCTTCAGAAAGCCCATAGGCTGAAATAAAGATTCTCAGTGCTGGCAGCCTGAGAGCAGCCCACACAGGGAAACTCGTCACGTAGCACGAGCAGAGAGTCAGCCCGTGGAAGGCGGCAGGGCTCCATCTGCAGAAGCAAGGAAGGAAAAACGGGAAGGGGCCTGTCAGGAAAGAATGTAGAGAAAAAACCAAGAAGCAGAAGGGCAACCAAGCTTATTGAGCTTTACTCACAGGGCAGCCCAGATCTCAACTATATTAGAGTTTCCTTTTAATACGAAGAAAGAAAGAAAGAAAAGAGAGAGAGAAGAGAAGAGAGAGAGAGAGAGCAAGAAAT